TCCCTACACTCCTCCAGTGATATGGGACTGTCACCTCCCTCATTTTAGGCACTCTACTTCTCATAATGCAACCTCAGGCCATAGTCATTTTCCCAGCAACTACATTATAACGTTACCCCCAATCAAAATTGTGGAGAACACAGAGAACTCCCATATTTCGCCAAGATAACAACATTCCAATTGAATAAAGGCAAGCAGTCTCCTGGACTTCCCTCTAATGAATGGGATTTAGTCCATAGAAACATTTTTCGAAGTGAAGATAATGCCAGATCCCAGACATCCCAGGTCATTTAGCGACTGTGGAAGTTAAAGGATCTCACAGCGCTCATCTTTCACTGCTGTAGGATCACATGTATCTGGAACCCCGGCTGTGTGCTTGGCTGTTTATACATGTTACTTGATTCCCTAACAACCCTATGAGGTATGCACTCCTATCTCAATGACACAGATGAAGAAACTCGGGCTCAGGGATTGAGGAGTTTGCCCAACACGTTCATAAATGGCTGTGGGTAGTTTCCTTGGAAGGCAGGAGGACGAGATCTAATTTTTCAGGTCCCCTCTTAGCAAGATGAACAAAACAACTCTTTGGAAGCTTTTCAATCTTAAAAAAAGAGGCAAGAAGATGGCCCCCTTAATAGGAAGGAATGTCAAATAAGAGTCAATAAATACCGAAGCAGGACATACAGAGGCCTTCTAACCAGACACACAGGCAGACTGTCCTTTCTCACCAAGGACAAAGACCATGTGATAATGAAGGGCGCTGAGTAGAAAGTTGGATCTACCCAGACAGTTCCTTGACCTACTACTGTCTGGTTGTGAGTGTTCCCTGTGAGGAAATTTTCCAGAGAGCCGAAGCTTCGTCCACTTGAATAGTATCATACTTTGTTTAGAACATTAATCTTTTAATTTTACTTTTGTTTTGTTTTGTCAGGTTTTACTATCCTATATGCTCTTTCAGTAAAGAGACACACACAGAGAGAGAGAGAGAGAGAGTGAGAAATCACCCCCGGGGTGGATGGCCAAACCGTAATCCCTTCTCCATTCTCCTCCAGGATTTTGGACACGCACATGTGCCCAGTGTGTTTTTCAAGCCAATGGATCTGGGACTCAAACCTCACAGTTGGCCATGCGGGATCCAGCCACCTTCATCACTGTGCCACCTGTTGGTGTGCCATTAATTGATTTTGACGAAGACATAAAACTTTTTTTTTTTTGAGAGAGAGATTTTTGCTATAGGGCTCATGTGCTCACCAGAAAGACAGAGAGAGGCAGAGAGACAGAAAGTGAGAAATCACTCTCCATGGGGGATGGCCACACTGTAATCCCTTCTCCTCCATTCTCCTCTCGAGATCTTGGGCACGCAAGCACACATGCTCGGCGTGAGTTTAAGCGTGAGGTCCGGGACTCAAACCGCGGTCAAGTACATGGGAGTTCAGCGACATAGCCATTACACTAACTGCTGTTCCCACATAAAACTTTTTTGAACATAGCTTTTGACCTTCTGGGAAAATAAAAGGATACAGACAAGCAGCACTCGTTTTTCTGCCACATGCCCGCTGAGTGACTCTGCCACTAAGCCTTTGGCCTCACTTCTCCTGTCTGTAGAGTGTGGGAAGCAAACGCTACTCACTGAGTCAGTTTAAGAACGAAATGAGATACTACGTGTTATGCCTGGGAAACCCATGTTTAGAACGTCTAGCTGTCCCTTTTTTTCTCCTGTTGGTAGTTGCTGGTCCTGTTCTCAACATGGGTCCCTGTGAGAGGCCATGCACAGCGATGCGCTTGGGCTTATAGGAGACTGCCCCAAACACCAATGACTCTAGAGTTCTGGGTCCACTTTTTACGGCCCTTTATCTCCTTCCTAGATACCAGCTGTAGACGGCCACTTTTCCCTGTCATCAAGTCCCTCTTCTCACTCTGAATTTGCTGCTTTCAAACTGCTCTAGGTTCAGAGCAGGGAGCCTGGATTGTTAAGCAAGTGTATAGAGCAGAAGTAAATGGGGCCAGTGTACTCATGCTGGGAGAATTCATTTTGCAAGTTGTAATGATATACAGTGATTGAATGTATGAATAAATAAAAAAATAAATGCCCCCACATAAAAAAGGAGTAGGGCCTGGATGAGAGTTGGAAGGCTCCTGCAGGGGAGGCAGATTAGGCCGAGATGTAGAATCCACTGTCCAAGCACAGCTGTGGAAACGTCTCCATGTCCAGAGAGCGGAGGTCTCAGCTCACATGATGGGAGGGCATGTGAGTGCTAAGTGGGAGCTGGTACGCTTGTCTGTCCTTCTGGCAGGTGGGTTCAGGAGGGCAGGGCCATGTCTGCTCTTCCCTGAATCCTCAGTGCTTAACACAGTTCCTGGGATACAGAGGGCACTCATTAAAGGCTGTGGAGTGGCTGAGTTGATGTGTTTCTAGTTCCCTTGGTCACCTTGGCTTTCATCCTCTCTCCCTCTTAGAGGAATGTGGTCTTAGGACTGGGGCCACAAAACAGGGCTTATCATGTGATGACGCACATCCTGGGCTCACATTCTTAAGCCCCATGAACCACTTTGATTCTTATTAGCTTCAGACACATAGCCACAGTGTGTGTGTGTGTGTGTGTGTGTGTGTGTGTGTGTTTGGGGGAGGGTGCTATAGGGTGCATGCACCTGTGCAAGAGAGAGAAAGTGAGAAAGTACCCTCCAGGGGGATGGCCATGCCTCAATCTCTCCTCCTCCCTCCTCCTTGTGGGATTTTGGGCACACATGCACATGTACCTGGTGTATTTCTCAAGTCATCGGGTCTGAGATTCAAACCATTCAGTCAGCCATGTGAGATCCAGCTGCCTTAACTATCATGCCACTGCCTAGACCATGATGTGAATAATAATAATAATTAAAAACCTCAATTCCTCTTTTCATTAAGTTTATTTTTGCCCCTCTCCTTCCCATGTAAGAAGGATGTTTGTTTCTTAGACTAAGGTTCACAACAATAATAGTAACATTCTCATCAGTAAAGCAGTTAGAGCAGAGATGGCGCTCCCTTTGGCGGCCTTAGTTAAGCCTCTCGACATCCCCATGAGCCAGATAGAGCAGGGATCATCGCTTCCATTTTAGAGATGAGGCAGCTGGAGACCAGAGACTTACAGTGACCTGCTTGAGGTCACACAGCTGGCAGAGCTAAAACCAGAACCCCGATCAGAGTGCTTGAGAACTCAGAATAGACCACGGAGGACGGAGGAGAAGACAAAAGCAACACACCATGCTCGCACTCTGCTGGAGCCAAAATGAACATTTTGCCACTGGGCTATAAATAGGCCTCGCATTTGCTGGAGTCTGCGCACCCCCAGGCGGCAGCTCCAGGCCCAAGGATGCGGCACACACTGCAAGGTTTGCAACGTGGCATTTGGACGGCAACATGGTCGTCTCCACATGGTCTGTGTTCTGACCAGACAGGGACAGGAGGATTGCCTAGGGGTGGGGTGAGGGTCTCTGCTCTGAGCAGCCCCTCCCTCTGTCTCGCCCAGTCTCCATCCAGCATGAAGACAATGAACAGACGCCTCAGCCCCTGC